ACTCCCAGAATTCCCTAGCCAGCTGTGCTTACTGGGGAATTCTGGGAATTGAAGTCCATTTTAAAGTCTCTAAGGTTGAGAAACACTGCTCTAGAATCTAGATCGATGCTTCTCAACCTCTGCCGCTTTAAGATGGGGTGGGTGGGGGGGACTTCGGCTCCCAGAATTTCCCAGTAAATATAGCGGGCTGAGGAATTCTGGGAATTGAAATCCGCCCATCTTAAAGCGGCAGCGATTGAGAAAACACAGTTCTAGATCCAGGCTCACTTTGCCCTCAGTTCCTAGAGACACGAGCCTCCCCCAGCTCTCCTGGGTCTGAGACAAGCGTGCCTCTGAGCATACGCAAAGTGCTCTCCTTTCTTCACAGTTTCTGCTTAGCTGGGATGGGCACGGGGCAGGATTTTCTAAACCAGAGGCGGGCATACATTAGGAAAAGGCCCAGCCCATCCTATTTGCTCCCCCCCCTCCCCCCTCCCCCAGTATGGCCAGTATGATCCCTTATTCTGATCCTGAAGTTTGCCACCAGCTGATGACTCAACCTGACCCGAGTGGCCACAAGGAGGAAGTGACGGCGATGGCCGCCTTGCGTTTCCTCTCGTAAAAGGCGAGATGGCCTGTTTTTCTTTCCATGCAAAACAAGAGCCGACAGATTTCCGCTGGAAATCGGCAGGACAAACTGGGAGGTTCTTGGCCAATGATTTGCAAAGGAGTTAGAAGGGGCTCGCTTTGTGGGCAAGCGGGGTGGGCTCTGTAGGATAACTGGGAAAAGAAAAAATAATAACTTTGCACATGGGCAGAGTTGATGCGTTGCCGTGTTTAAATTTTGCAAGGTAGGAATGCAAACACAGGTAATAATCGACTTACAAAAGTTCTTTTAGTGGCCGCGCAAAGTTACGACGACACTGAAAAAAGGTGCCCTAGGACCGTTTTTCATACTTACGGCCGTTGTAGCATTCCTCACGTGATTTACATTCGGATGGCTTGACAACTGACTCGCATTTATGACGACGGTTGCAGTGTCCCCATGATCCACTTTTGCGACCTTCGGACAAGTCCATGGGGAAACTACTTAACCACCATGGTCCTCATTTAAGGACTGCAGTGATTCACTTAACAACAGTGGCGAGGAACATCGCTAACTTGCTTAACAATCTTCTCACATCACAACAGGGCTCAGTTGGGGTCCTAAGTCGGAAGTTACAGGGGAACTGAAAAAAGCGACATGACTATTTTTCACACTTACGACCGTGTTGTGTGGTGGCCTTTTGCGACCTTCTGACAAGCAAATTCATTTTAAACAACTGTGTCCTTTACTTAACAATGGCAGTGATTCACTTAGCAACGGTGTCAATCAAGGTTGTAAAACAGGGAAAACATCCCTTAACAGCTGCCTTATTTAGCAAACAGAAATGTGGCGGTTCGGTTGTGTTTGTAAGTCAAGGGAAATCCTCAATAAAAATGAAGATTTCTTCATGCAAAACCCGTTTCTGAGCTGGGAAAGGATATCAGAGGTCATCTAGCCCAACCCCGCTCTCTTGTCAGGGTAGGGTTTGCCTAAACGTGTTGGATAAGATAGTAAGATATATTAGGGGGAAACATCCTGAAGGTATCTTGAAAATAGTCTTAACTACATATGTTTTGGGGTTTTTTAAGGAAGAACCTGAATCGCCACCTCTCATGAATAAATTTAACGGCTGTTCTTGTACTCTACAAAGGGGTGGGCTAGATGATCTTTGGCGTTTCTTCCAGGCCTACAACATCATGAGTCTAAGAGGTGTCCCAGGTGAATGTTCTCTGGATTTATTTTAACCCATTTAATTCTGAAACATGATCTTCCACCTATTAACCCTTCCCATGTGCTGAACTACGGGTCCCATCATCCCCAACCAGACATATGAGAAGCTGCAGGTCGGTTTGATGAGGGAGGCAAACAAATTGTGCTCTCATTTGTTTTGGGGTGCTAAGTTGCGATGAAATGATTTGCCTAAAATTGCATTGATTTTCCTTTTGCTTCGTTGTGACCAATCCTGGCTCAAGAGGGGGATTTGAACCCGGATTTAAAACCGAATAAATGCATCTCTAGAGCAATGGTTGCCAACCAGTGGGCCAGGGACCACTCATGGTCCGCAAGTAAATTTTGGTGGTCCGCAGAGAAATGCCACCCTCAAAGCACTGCCGAAAGCAATTAATCTAGGCTGTGCGGGAACACAAAGACTCCTTTCTGGCGGAGTTTGGGGGAGAGAAAGAAAGACTTCTGCGGCTTCTGCTGCTTTCCTTGCATGAAGCCAAATGTCTCTCCTCTCTCCCCCCAAGAACGGAGCTGGAGACGTTATCCTGCAATCCCAAATAAAGAATGATTGATCGGTAGGAAAACGGGGCGGGGAATTTTCCTGCAGACTTTTTGGGGGATTTTCCCAGGGTCTCAGGTGAGTGGGATTTAAAATTATGGGTTTGGTGGTCCCTGAGGTCCACAAGGTTGACGACCCCTGATCTAGAGGGTGGAGGGGGAAAGGATGAGAAAAACGTGGAAAGGACCCACTGCAACTTTCCCTTCTCATCGGGACTCTCACTGACTTTGCACAAGACAAGGAATAAATAAATATATGGAAAAATGCAGGTTAATGGTAGTTCTCGACTTACAATCATTCGTTTAGTGACTGTTTGAAGTTACAATGGCACTGAAAAAAGTAACTTAAGACTCTATCTTAGACACAACAGTCCCAGCATCCCCATAGTCACGTGATCAAAATTCGGACGCTTGGCAACTGACTCATATTTACGACGGTTGCAGTGTCCCTGCGATCCCATTTTGTGACCTTCTGATGAGCGAAGTCAATGGGAAAGCCCGATTCACTTAACAACAGTGTAACCGACTTAACAAATGCACCGATTCACTTAACAACTGTGTCAAGAAAGGTTATAAAATGGGGGCAAAATTCACTGAACCACTGTCTCGCTTAGCAATGTAAATTTTGGGCTCAAATCGTGGTCGTAAGTCGAGGACTACCTGCATTTGAAAAACAGTCTATTTCCCAGTTTGGAAAACAGACCATAGATAGTCCTCAACTTACACAATTGGGAGCCCAATTTCCATTGCTAAGCAAGGTTGTCGTTGAGGGAGTCGTGCCTCATTTTATGACCTTTTCTTGCCACTGCTGTTAAGCAAAGTGCTGCAGTTGTTAAGTGAGTCACACCTTCGTTAAATAAACCTGACTTCTCCCATTAACTTTGATTGTCCGAAGACAGCTGGGAAGGTTGCAAATATCATTTCCCTGAATGTCGTGTCCGTTGTAAATTGAGCCCAAAATTTCTCTGGCTAAGTGGAGCATTTGTTAAGTTTTGCCCCATTTTGCAACCTTTCATTCTGCGGTTGTTAAGCGAATCATTGCCGTTGTTAAGATAGTAACACCATCGTTAAGTGAATCCGGCTTCCCCTTGACTTGGTTTGTCGGAAGGTCGCAAAAGGGGATCACATGACCCAGCGACCGTCACAAATATGAATCAATTGCCAAGTGTCTGAATTTTGATCATGTGATCATGGGGATGTTGCAAACGGTTGTAAGTGTGAAAAACAGTCCTCAGTCGCTTTTTTCAGTGCCGTTGTAACTTCGTTCACTCAGTGAGCTGTTGCAAGTTGAGAACTACAGGTACCTGCCAGTTAGCAAGGGCTGGATTCGAATCAATTGAGTCCAACATTTCTGTTGTTAAGTGTAACCTTTCTGAAGTGAGGTGTCTTGGTTTTTTTGTCTCATTTTACGACCTTTTCTTGCATTTGTTTTTCTCCAGTCTTTCCGACAAGAAAATTATGTGGATTCCAGGACTTGCATTCAATTCAGGAAAGGTTTTGGCCCGCTGCTCTTTATCTCGTCTTTGGGGAAAACCCCAAATATTGTTTGATCTTTAAATT